AATCAAGCAGATCATCGATCAGGTGTAATCTCAATTTTTCCAAAATAATGTTCTCCAGGCTCTTTCTCCAAAAAGTCCTTGCACTGCCGTTAGTACGCACTAATTTGTTCCGTGACTGCCAACAGGCAGGCCATACTTCCGCAGTTGACATTTGCATTTGTGCAGAGGCTTACCTCACATCCTCCCTTTCTGCGGAAGTTCATAAACTCGTTATTGTCTTCCCTGGTGAACACTCCTATGATCACAGCTCTATTATGAGTCCCACAACGCCGATTTTTGCTCTCCCCGTTTTTGTCTCCGTTGACTCATGCTTTGGCGTGACGTTGAAAGGGACGACCAGCTTCGTCCATTCTTGAGTCCTGTCGTTTCTGCCGCACACTTCCTGTGTGTCCAATGGAATCCGCCTGGGTATTCTCGCTACTGTCCTCCACCTAATCCCTCTTTATTTGCACATCTTCCAGGACAGTACATCTTCGTTTATTGCTCTATGCGGATTCTGAATCTATATAAGTTGTTGCATTCCCAACATAGTATGGGAAGTTTTGTGGATGTGTCTTTAATTCCCCACGCATTTCTGTAATCCCGCTGTATTCCTTCGATCTACGGAGTTTCTCCGCTGTTGCGGTCACAAATTCTTGTAGTAGATGTGATCCCTCACCACCTTAAAATAGTATCAATGCATGGATTTAATTTTCGAATTGCCAAACACTCCTATTCTGTTGCTGAGTAGTTTTTCTCGGTACCGATTCGGCTTGAGTACAAGGCCCATAATCGCTGTCGTCAGTTTTTAGGATGAATATCTTTCCGATGTCGCCAGAACTGGGTCTGTAACTAGTCTTGCCTTCACATTCTCAAAGGCTTGTTGGTGGTTCTGTTACCACGCTCTTTTGATGCCCTTGCGGAGTCGTTGAGTGGGTTTACAATGCGCATGAAATCAGGAATGAAACGTCGGTACCAGGACCCAACTCCTAGGTATGGTTTCAGAACTCGGACTGACGAACATGGTTCTAACTGGGCTAAGGCTTGCTTTATAATTGTAACTTTTCTTGGTTTATCCTTAGGTTTGCCTCCTCATAACATCGAAATACTTCGCTGATGTTTTTTTGTGTTCATCTAGGATGGGCCCAATTACAATGATATCATCCTGGTATGCACCGTGGAAATGTGGCCGATGCTGAGTATAATCTGAACGGCATCACTCGCCTCTGGAATAGCCCTTTTCCTGGAACCGTTACCGCTGTGTACCCTCGAATTGCTTCTTCCGGAGGTATATGGCAGTATCCATTCTTATGATTAATTCTTTACATTAATCTCCCCTTGAATTTTTGGAAATTTGGGGTAATATCCCTGCTTAATTGTTTTATCACCCTTCATGGTTATCGAGTGCCCGGCAACATGATCCAGCCTTTGATCGAAATTGTGCAAACTTTGTTTCCAGGAATTTTTCCTAGTCGTCTACTTCGCCGTATTTTTAGACCACTGCGACCGACAACTTTTCATCGAGCCACCCGACATCGCTTAATCTCAACTTAATATCTAGTAATGCCGAGGATCCAGAGCGTCGAGATCCCATCGCAGAGGATTAAATTGGGGTTGGTTTGACGGATCTAAGATCCCTAAATTTGTTATTATCATTCACAAAAGTGTATTACCTATTAAAAATATATTACTTTTGGCCTCTATGAGGGAACGCAATTTTACTGATAAAATGATTAAATGTTATATAATATTTTTTAGAAAAAAATTAAAAGCTGCTTTTTAGCGCCCATTACGTACAAATTTAGAGAAAGTCCAGAAGTTTAACTATCGTGTGCACCGTGTAGTGACCAACTTAAACTTTACACTGCAATAACTCTTCAAGACACCCTCGCCCTAAATTATAGCAGCTTTTGTATAACCCAAAAAATGGGAGAATTGTCTTAGACCAATCAGGACAGAATATGATCGTACGATTTTACAGTTAGGGAAAGGAAAACTATAGCAGTGACCACCGTCATGCAGCTTTCTAGAGCTTAATTCTTTATCGGATTAAACCTCGTGGCGAACGCTCACAATTTTTGTCGCTGCCCAATAAAACTTTACATACACGTGGAGATATAATTTAAGATATTATCCAATCCAATAAAAACAAGAGTGGGATATTTCAATAAATTTCCGTGTGTGATTTGTGTGAAAGTGGAAAAGGGATTCGACCCCAAGCCCAGCGTAGGTGCCAGCAGTCTCCTAAGGTCTTATCGCTACAGTGCTGCAGTTGCATTTCGGTGTTTTGTTTTGATTCTAGATTTTCTTTTGTATTTCAATTAATAATGAATTAAATACTTGCAGATTAACGGAACTTTTGGAATTTGAATAGGAATTTAAATTATAACCTTTTAAACTTGACCTACAGCTCGACAATGTCAATGTGAACTTGGGCCCAACTTTACGCACATCATGGAGTGGATATTTAAGGTCGTGAGTAATACAAAACAACAACGATAAAAAACATTATTATGAATTACCTATATTAAAATTCTACAAAATGCCTCTCAAACGTCTAAATAAAGAAAGATCTGCCTTTGGCTAAAGATTGTATAACTATATTTGCTAATTTTATATTCAATTACTTATATAATAGGTTGGAAAATATCTCCCTTCCGCTTTTTTGCTCTTTATTCAATGCCTTATAAAAAGTGTTACAGTGATCGGATTTAGTTCAAATATGCGCCGTTTTGTTCGATAATCTGTTTCCATCTAGATGGCAACTTCATAATACCTCCCTCGTAGAAGCCCCCCTCCTTATTTGCGAAGAACTCGGACAGCCACTTTTCACAAGCCTCTTTTGAGTTCAACTTTACACCACCAAGGGCATTCGCCATGGACAGGAACAGGTGGTAATCACTTGGCGCTATGTCCGGGCTATATGGTGGATGCGATAAAACCTCCTATCCGAGCTCCCTTAGCTTCTGACGAGTCATCAACGAAGTGTGTGGTCTGGCGTTGTCCTGGTGGAACACTACACCCTTCCTGTTGGCCAATTCTGGACGCTTCTGGTCGATCGCCTGCTTCAAGCGGTCCAGTTGTTCGCAGTAGATGGTAGAATTAAGCGTCTGGCCATATGGGAGCAGCTCATAGTGGATGATTCCCTTCCAATCCCACCAAACACACAGCAAAACCTTCCTGGCCGTCAATCCCGGCTTGGCCCCTGTTTGGGACGATTCACCGGCCTTCGACCACGACCGTTTTCGCTTGATATTGTCGTATGTGATCCATTTTTCGTCGCCAGTCACCATCCGCTTCAAGAATGGGTCGAGTTCGTTCCGTTTCAGCAGCATATCGCAGGCGTTGATTCGGTCCTGAAGGTTTTTTTGCGTCAAATCATACGGCACCCAAACATCAAGCTTTTTTTTGTATCCAGCCTTCTGCAGATGGTTTAAAATGGTTTGGTGACTAACTCCCATCTCCTGGGCGATGTCACGAGATGCCACATGCCGGTCTAACTCGATGTATTCCATGATTTGATCGGTATTTGTCGTCACAGGTCTTCCGCCGGCTGGCTTATCCATGGTGTCGTTTTCACCGGCTCTGAATCGTCGAAACCATTCCTCCGCGGTTCGAAGTGATAGAGTACCATCCCCCAAAACACCATTAATCTCACGGAACGTTTCTCTGGCGGATTTGCCTTTAACGAAGGAAAACTTTAAAATAGCGCGAGTTTCGGCGTTAGTGAACTCCATGTTTACACATCTATAACTGTTGAACGCAATAACTAATCATGCATAGCGTCGTTTTGTAGGTTATGTCAAGACCTTTCAAATTATGTATAGTATTGCCAGATACGAGCTCTGTAGCGCTTTCCGCGAAATTCAAAAGACAAAAAGGCGGAAGGGAGATATTTGCCAAACTAATATATTTGCTTTATACATTACTTTTATATACTTTATTTTACTCACTAAATATAAACGAAAATGAGGTGTTAGAGAATGACTAGGATAATTATGCGTATGTTAAAATTTGTTAGTTTGTAAAAGAGATTTAATGGAACAGCTTACTAAACTGAATTTATATAAATGGAATTATAATTGAAGATATATTGAAAAAGAATGAATTGTGATTAAATTGATTTAATGGTTTGTCGAGTACTTATGTTGAACACTTTCTTAAATATGTGGTAGAGTTATTTGGAACTTGGCCAAGGGACAATGTTAGCATTTTAAGTAGCATTGTCATGGTAGGGAGGGTAAAGACAGGGAATTATTAACATCCAAAATTCCCAATACTTATCAGAATCTGTAGCTTATCTTCACATGTGTCGGCGTGTATCCGTAGAATCAATACAAAGCCATTTCTTTTATTAATCGATAGTCCAGTTTTGAAAATTGTTTTTGAATAAGACGCACTTATTAAATGTAGGAGCGTTTCGTACTATCCTAAGCTAAAGAAACCCCGACCTACGGCTAGCTAGACCCGAGCATAGCAAGAGTGCGCTTCCTTAGCGAAGGAGCCCAGCTAGTTAAAATCTGTCGAACTACGTACACTACAACAAATTATTGTCAACTTATTTAGCTTTTGTAAATTAGAACATGGCACTAGCCATGAATATTACACATACATATTATTCATTCTCGATATGTTGGAGAGGTGAGAGGCTTACTAAGATCCCACAATCTAAATTTGTCGAGCCTTCGCTGGCAGCCTGGTGTTTGAGCATCGGATGTCTCTACCTCTGTTTCAAATCCTTTTCCAGTACAAGGGTACTTATATGCTGAAGTAATAAATTTGAGTTTTTATTATAAATAAAAATACACAAATAAAAATAAATATACACTTTGGAATTGGCGGTTTATGTTATTTTGGTTTGACAAATGACTATAGTATACTATACCATATAGTATACTATATAGTATACTATTATATAATAATATACACCTTCATTTATGTTAAAATATATCTCAAACCAGAAATGAACACGATTGAAAGACTCGGATTCCAAATTTACAAAACATATTTTTTTTTCTGCTGTTCCCGTGTTTTTCCAGTTTTCTATCTACGAAAAGTAAACAATTAATTTCAAATCGTATTTCTTACTTAATTCTTACTTACTTATCCGATAAAGCTTCTAAACTAAAACGACACCTCGGAATGGATAGATGAGATGGAATACTTTTTAGATTTTTAAGACACGTCTTCGCATTCTCAATATCACTTTCCAGACGTATAACTGAAAAAAAGGCTTTCAAAGTCCTATTATTATTTTAAATAATGTTAGAAGATTACCCTTGTGCAATAATTTTTCTTCATTAGTATCGCAACACAATGTTGTTTTACAACTACAGCATTTTTGTAAATTTTGAGTATTTAATGAAGTCGAAGTGTACTGTCCATGAATGGTGGAGGCGGAACTAAAAGTAGTCATTTCTTTGACTATCATATTAAACAGGCAACCTGGCAGGATATTTTCCGCTGCAGCATATATCCGCTTATGCATATAGGCAAGTTCCCTGAAATCTAGTGTGTGCAGCCCATGATGGTAAAGTTTATGGCAGATTGCATAGAATCGGCTTTTGGGAACATTACACTTGCAAAAACAAAACCCACATTCATCAATAAACATGTCTAGAATTTTACGCAATTCCCTTTCAAGTGCGCAACCATCAATATCACCTGCTGACAATGATTGCACAGTGTGCCTTACAAAAGCATCGAATTGACCACCATCTCTGCATCGCGATGAAATCCGTTTCCCCATTTTGTTTTTTATCCCAATTTTTAAAAGCACACTACTGCCATGGCTGATCCGAGCGCTAGAAGCCGAGTCACTTGTCAAACTCTTATCAACTATATTTTTATAATTTTTGTTCCCAAATTTAGATCCTCTAACAGTGTCTTCTTTCGTCCCTTTCTCGAACCTTTCCTGCTGACCTGATAGTCCTACACCTCTCACCGCCTTTGGTTGAATGGGCCGACTTCCTCCAGTATGGTCTCCAGGTAAAGTTAATTCGGCTCGAGATTTCGCAACGCCTTCCTTTACTGCTCCGGGACCTAATATTACTCCCTGGTCAGTAGCTTTTATTGGTCCCTGCGCTTCCCTAGACTTTGGTCCCAGTTTTGTCCCAGGAATATCCCCTTGTTTGGGATTATCAGTCATTTCTTGACCTACAGGTAGTCCGATTCCCTGTGCTACACTAGCTCCTGCCGCTTGACCTAAGCCTGACTTAGGAACCGTTAAAGGCTTGGCTTCATTAGTTACATATTTTTTGTCACCTTGATCTCTAGTGTTTATATCTCTTCCTTCACCTAGACCTGCCCCCTCAGGATTACTTCCTCCATTAGATTGAGCAGCTTGCTTTACATTTTTTCCGGATTCTGATTCTTTACCAGGAGCAGCAGGTCCCAACTTAGATCCTCTATTCCTTGAACCAGATGCGGACTTATTTTCTTCACCAGTTCCGGTCACTTTTCCCTTACTGATTTCCCCAATTATTCCAGGGCCAAGCACGCCTTCTGGTACAGCACCAGATGCGGACTTATTTTCTTCACCAGTTCCGGTCACTTTTCCCTTACTGATTTCCCCAATTATTCCAGGGCCAAGCACGCCTTCTGGTACAGCACCAGATACTAGCTGTTTCTCTGGGACGGAATATGTAGGTACGCCTCCTTGTCCTGCACTTTGATTTTGCTGTTTGGCACCAGTTTCTTTTTCATTCTCTACACTTCCTTTCCCTTCAGTTGCAACATTTTTTGTTTTCTCAATTAAATCATTTGCTTTAAATAGACCACTATCTGCGCCCATTCCTTTCCCTAGTTCTACACCAGCTCCTCTTCCCTGTTCTTCAATAGGTCTTTGTTTTGATACAGGCCCTGCAGCTTGTATCTTTTCACCTTCGAGTGCTACAGGATGTACTGTACCAGATGATTCTTCCTCCCCTCTACCGGATGGTGACACTAGAAGAGGACTATTTTTAGCCGCGCGGTCTGAATCAAATCCGGTTCCTTTTCCTGGCCCATCAGTATACATTTCAGATGAAATAGTTTCTGGTCCAGTCATTTCTTTCTTTTGTATTTCGTCCACGCCGCTAGATCCGAAACTCGGCAGAACTGTTTTTCCTAAATCTGTATCTGATTCTTTTATTGAGCCAGAAGGTTCTGTAAGTTTTAAAGATGTTTCCATTCCAGGCAGATCCTTATTGAGGAGTTCTTGTTTTGAACTTTGTAAAAGTTTTATTTTGTTTTCAATTTCTTTAGGATCTATTCCTACCTCCTGCAAAGTCTTCCCCAATGCCTCATTTATTTCCCTCATTAAGTGTGATTCTTCCCTGCAATCTTTCAATTGTTTGGAAAGGTCATCAATAAGTTGACGGGCCTCGCCATCTTTCAGTTGGCTTATTTGTCCTTTCAGCCACTCGTTTTCTTGCGATACATCTCCGATGTCTTGAATAAGTCCAATGCTTTCAACAATGCCTTGTTCCATATGTCTAGTATCTTCGTCTAGTTTCTGAACTTGATAATCCAAATCATCTAACTTATTTTTGCTTATTTCAGCAGCCTCGCACAGGCAGTCATTTTCCTCAATAAGTACTCCCAGTTGCTCATCTTTTTTTTTCAGAAGATCATTTAAACGTTTTATCTCTTGATTACATTTCTCTGTTGAACAGGTTATTTCATTATGATCAGGACGAAAACCCGTTTGTTGGCTTAGTAATTCTCTAAGGCGCTGTAGTTCTATTGTACATTCCTCAAGCGAATTAATTGCTGGGTCTTCAGAACTTCTGTTCTTATTAATAACCTTTAAACAATCTGATTGTTTGCATAGCTCATTCATAATATGGTCAAGTGTCACCCTTGTATAAAACGCCAGATCATCCCCCATTTCAGGTGAATATGTAGGAACCACTCCAGGACACGGGCCATGCTGATTGCAATATCGTTGGTTAAGTTCACAAACCACAATCTACAATAAACATTTAAAATAAGTATTAGTTTTATTTATCTCGAATAAAATAGAGAATATAAAGCTGAAATAAACTGATGCATACCAAATAAGAAAAACGCTTAAGATGTTTAAGAGTGTAATGCCTCCTATGTAAGTGTAGGCGGAGGCCCATGTTACCGGGTCGTTCTTGAGACCCAAGGAAATGGTAATAGAGCAAGGAGGTTGCGTCTAACACCTATTCTGGTCCATGACCCAACTATGCCCACCGTAATGGCAGGGAATGAAAGATGGCTAAGGCATATCGATCTTAAAGTAAAGTATTATGTGAGCGCATATATAGTTCAATCGACAGTCATATGAGTTGACTGAACACGATGATCAATAACAAAACAGTTGGCTGGCAATGTTATAGCGTCTGTATTTTAGTATGCGCTGGTAATAATTTGTATCACTTACCTTAAAAAGGGAAGGACCTTCAACGAAAACGGCAGCATTAAAAAAAGAAGTGCTGTTTTACTAAGACAATACACCGGGTCACAAGTCAGTGGCAAAAATCCATGAGTTGGACTTCGAATTGCTTCCGCATCCACCGTATCCTCCAGATTTGGCCCCACCTACTATTTTCTATTCTTAGATCTCAAAATAATGCTACTTAAACAGTAACTCAAAAACCAGGCCAGTAGGTGAGAAAAAAATTTTACAAATGTAACCGAAATATACTTATTGCTTCCTACTTCTAAATCAAATCAATCGATATGTTTATTTTGCGATCCGAAAGGATCCAAAGCGATCCGAGTAGCGAAAAGTTTTGTACCTTTGCCATAACTGTTTGCACAAGTGGAATAGTTTGCATCAATGGAAGTCGACTCACTGCAGATATTGTCGCATGAATTGCATGCGTGAATCATGATCCATCCGCACCATCCATGCGTAATCACGGGATACAAGCTGTCGTGATTCATTCTCAGCTGTTGTGACTCACAGTATCACAGTATCGCATTTCAATACAAATGCAACATCATGGAAGATACCACAAAACATCGCTCGCTGATCCTTATTTCAATCAATCACAACTAAGTAACCTTTCAATAGGCGCTGGTCTGTTTTCGAAATAATTTATGTGAACAAATTTGGTAGCTAACCTGGATAGAAACCTAGCCTTGAAAGCTCAGTATAATGCATTTTTACTGGAGTATATCGATCTAGGACATATGTATCTTGTAGGAAAGGAAGTATCGGTAGCACAATACTCTTTACCCCACTAATGCGTACATAAGCTGCAGAGCCCAAAGCTTCGTGTTTAATGGATCTGCTAAAACGACTTCTGGTAGTTCTCTGATGGACTTACTTGTTGCAGAGCCTACAATTCACCAAAAATCTTTGATATTCTACTCCACTTTCGGTTTTTATACCCATTACTCGTAGAGTAAATGGGTGTACTATTATACATTCGTTGAAAAGTATGTAACAGGCAGCGTGTACGATCAATGTATATAATATTTATTTAATTAATTGGTGATTGATTTAATTTAAAAATATATATTTTCATTTTTTTATAATCTTTATTTGAAAAGTTTTCAACAGAGGTCAGTTATGAACTCATTTACAAATTTATTCTTTCGGCGCAGCAAACCTTTTACAGAGGTTTAACATAAGCCTTTTAAGTTCTACTTAGCTTTATATGTCAAGAATACCGAATCATTAAGTTGTTACCGTGAAGCGGTTGGCGTCTTGGGAGAATGTTATTTATGAAGCTTTTGAAGAGTGAATCTTTCCAAAAGATCGGCTTTAGTCTTTTATATGAAGGGTGAATTGTCACTCCCCCACCTTTTAGATATTAGCTTGCTTGTCCTCAAGCGATTATTTCTGGATATAATTGTGGTACTGTATTTTCAATTTCAACTATTTCTGTTTTTGATTCTTTTTCTTTTTCGATATTTTTGTTAGCAGTTTTACTTGTCTTTAGGTAAGAGATAATAATATTGTGTGGCGCTGTATTGCATTTCATATAAAAGAAGAATATGTACATTAAAACTAAAACAGATATGAAGATTGTTAGTATGTTTCTGTAAATGGTTTGACTTTGGTAACATTGTGTTCTGTACATATTACATTTGTGTATTGTTGAATGTTTTAATTCAGATATTTTTATAATTTTTTTATTTTCAATATAAATCTCTTTACCGTTACAATTGTGATAAAGTTTTTCTCTTGTCATATTCCAGGTTATTTTTTTTGGTTTATTGTATAGAAGGTAGGATTGTTTCCATATTTTTGAAAAGTACAAGTTGGTGTTTCGTGTTTTATTATGTCAGCATGCAATGATTTTGAGGATAGTCTGTTAATTAAAAAACTTAACAAAAAACGACAGGATTTCGAAATGGACACAAAATTTAGACAAGCACCCTTAACGCGCGCAAAATCAAAGAATCCCTTTAGAAAAACAGGCAGAATAGAACAATTAGACGAAAAACATTATACAAGATAAATACTGTTTTTTGTCAATTGCATAAAAGTCAATAACATAAATTTCTAGTGGGTTATTTGTCTCTGGAGTTATTTCAAAAAGTAGTTTTGTTGGTCTATGTTCTGTCTTTCCAAGCTTACAGATTTCGCAATCATTGATAATGTTTTGAATTAGTTTATTATAATCGGGAATTCAGTGAGTTTCTTTAAATAATCATTTCACTTTTTCAATACCAGGGTGTAACAATTCAGAATGTAAATATGAATGTACTAAGGATAAGGACTTATCCTTATTTTTGTATATAAAAGTTATTAGCTGATATGGAGTCTGTTTCGAGACCAAAAATATCGGTATATTCGGTGCATAATTTTGTTAAATCGTTTTTAAATAACAATGCAAATTTTAGAAGTTTTAATACTTCTGAAGTTCTTTGTGCACTATTTTCTGTCTTTGCATTGTAAACATCATAATCGTCTAATGATTCGCTTCTTATAATTGTGCTGCTTACAATAGCGTCATTTTCTGTTGTATTTATAATGCGAATCAACACGTTCTGAGTGTTTACTAGTGCACTTGCTACTTTTATGCCAGGCTGCAATTCCTGGTTGGGGATAAAAACATTGGTGTCAGTAGACGTGAGTCAGAGACTGATCTAGCTGGCAAAACTATTTCGTTATCAAGTGAATGTATTATAGGAAATTATCCTGAAATTATCGGTCCTCAAAGTGAAACAACCTCTTGTCGTGGAATTCTAAAATATAATTATATTTTTTAATAAAGTCCAAACCAATTATACCATCCCCTGGTATAGGGTGTTGCTCAAGGGGTCTTCTGGTTTTCCTGTCTGTAGGTTTTTGTCGGTATTATGGTTTCTATTATTTGAGTTTTGGTTTTGGTTACCCCTATGGTAACATCCACCTCTGTTGTTGTTCTGTTTACCGCCGCGGCCAATTGTTATGTATTAATATATCCGACCTCAAATTCATATACGCTAATAAACGTATGAAATCTCTGTAAGATCTGCAAAGAGGGTTGTTTTTTTAGAACCTGTCTAAATTTCTCTGCTGTTTGCTCTGTGCGTTTATCCTGTTTTTCCTGTTTCTGTTCATCCATATTTTCGTTTTTATTTAATTTACTTTCAGAAGATTTTTCTTTGTTTCTTTGTCTTTTATATTTATTTATTCATATGTATATATTAAACCTTTTATTATTTTTCAAAATATTATATGTTTTTTTTTTTATATATTTATTTATTTTTCATACTCAAAACACATTTATTTTATTATGTATAAAACTTTTTGAATTTTAAATTTTTCGTTTCGTTTCTTATATTTTGCCTGATCGTTGGCTCTGCTCTCATATTTCTTTTTTAAACATTTATTATGGAATTGTACAATTTAGTGAGCGCATTAACGATCATTATAATGGCTATTATGCCCAGGATCAAAGTGATCCAATTTATGTTGCTTGTACTTACTTCTATTTTGTTTATTACATTTGCGGTAGAATCTACCGACTTAGTGTCGGTACCGACTTACTAGTCCCATATTGGGCACCGTTCTTATTTTATTATCTCTTCATATAAAGTTGTTTCGTGTGTTTATAAAATAATAATTAATTACCCTATCTCTGTCTAAAATATCTACTTTGTAGATCCTATTTCCTATAGGCGACATACAAGTCGTCCTACCAAGGTTTACGTCTGCCCTTGTGGGCCAAACTTCTCATTGGGCGAATAGGTTCCGCTCAATTGTACACTGTTTTTATAATTAAATGAAAAAATATGCATCGCAATGCAATTAAAAAAAAAAAATGCAACGCAGTGCAAAGTATAAAAAAAATTGAGCTCCTGGAAGCGTTGACGGTAGTTGCTGTAGTTGATGTAGTCGATGCTGCTTACGTACTCCGCCCCTGTGTTTACCCATCACACTCATACTCTACTCACTCAGAATTTTCCTCCAAAGCTGCTGGTTGTTGTTGCTTGTTTATTTATTTAATTATTTTGTAGTTACTGCTGATGTTGTTTTGTTTCTGGTTGTTTTGCTCCTGCTGATGTTGTAGTTAATAATGCATGTAATTGTTGATGTCCATTGAAATTGCTGTTATTGTAAATGTTAATGCTGATGCTACTGTTGTTTGATTTAACACTTTTTCACTTTGTCATTTTATTTGCTTAATTTATTAGTTTATAGTTTAAAAGTTAGACTAAGATTAGACTTTGTCATCATGTTTGTTGCTGCTGTTCTTCTTAATCTTTGATTGTTATTTTCATTGTGTTTCACATTGAGTTTCGGTTTTTCGGGGACGTCACTCCTCGAAGAACGTTCTTTATTGAATATGTCTTTATCTTAAAGTCAATGGGTGCCAAGCGCTGCGACATAGCAGCCAAGGCTCTTATGTATTCTTATACAATGTAATAGTAAGTGGTACATACATTGAGAGAGTAAGTTGTGTGCGCGAGTTATCAGTGTATCCAAGGGGGAAGCTGATGAGTTTGGATATAGTTATCGGTATGTCCAAAGGGGGAAGCTGGTGAGTTTGAATTTCGACGATGAATAAAAAAAAGAGACTGAGTTCTTTCAAGTTTAAAACTAGAGTGGTCTTTATTGTGTCGGAGAATTCTCCTCTAGCTCTTGGTTACTCAAGTTTTTGTCTTAAACATAAGTGCTTTTGGTTTTAAGTGTACATGGGTTTTAGTGCCGCCTCAGCAATGTTGCTGTGCAACTTTGAACGCGAAGTCAGCATTTGGCCGGATGCGGTGCTCCAGTTGTTCGCCTTCCCGGTTCAGTGTCCGACAATGTTAGAGGCGTGGAGGTTTAAGGGGGTGGGGTGGTAACTCCTCCCTCCCCAGTTCGAAGCGACGGCCATAGCGAAGGTATGGACGGTGCGTAGATCGGCATCCGATGATCTTCATGGACATTGACGATGTATTTCGTTCGTCGGTGCAGCCATAGGATTATAGCCAAGGATGCTACCAGTCCGAGCAGAGTATGGAGTGTCCAGGTGTGTCGTGTGGTATTGTGATGGACGGCTAGGATTTTACTCATTGTTTAAGCGGCTTCGAGATTAAGTTTCTCTAGGCTTAATACCATAATGGTGGTATTCCTAGTTATTTCGCGCATAGGGGGCAGGGTACAATCCAGTTGTTCGGGAAAGGTGTCAGCCGTGCCGTCGTACCGTTAATTTGTATCATTTCATTACTATATCTGATGATGGGTGACCCCGTTATGGAGAGCTCAGAGCTATTAGATAGGGATATTCTCAGGTTGTTCACGTTGAACGCGAAGATGTAACCTCTCTCCGCTTCGAAGACATCGGTGATGGGGCCGGTTTCTCGCACGTTGCAGGAACTGTTTTCTCCGTTTAAAAGATTTGTCAGGCATGTATTATTCTGCGGTGCGTCGATAAAAAAGTCCTCGTCGCACAAGAATGTGTCATCCAGTTTAGGGCATCTCCGTGTCATATGATATTTCTTATTATTAGTATTATAGGCTAAGTAGTTTGGTGTAATTATAAAATAAGTGTTATTTATGGGTAATGGAACTAGTCTTGTGAGGGTATAAACAGGTACTTTGATATTCAAAATTATTTTTCGTTCATAGCTTAGCGTGTTAATTTGTAGGAAGTGTATAATTTTGTTCGTTCTTGATTGTAATATTTTGTTTTTCCAATATCTTTTTTATTTTATCTATTTCCTGTTCATTTGGGATGAACTTGGGAATTATATTTATTTTTGCTAATAACATACTTTCCGTTATGTCATTCAGGTGATTGATGAATAATGCAACGTTATAGTTAGTCCTGTTAATTACTGCATTTCTTCCAGAAGGGTATCATGCATGTTTAATTGTTTTTAAATTTCATTTTGTGAGTTTTCAAGGAATTTGCTTATCAAAAGTTGCTCATTGTTTATATGATTCGTAATGTTTTCGAACCGTGTAAGTATTTCGTTATTAAACAATTCTTGGTTTAGGAAGTTGTCATTAATGACTTTAGAATTTTTCTTTATATTGTCTAATTCTTCATGGATCTCTTTGTCGTCATTGGCATCCATGTTGCCGGTAACAACTTTTACAAGACTACCCAGTCCGTTGGCCAAACCACGTTTGTTTCTATTAAATGGAGTTAAGGCTTTGAGCTTGACCTGGGCTTGGGTTAGTTTTCCTTTTAATATAGTAGTATCGGGGGTATGAAATTCATTAATAGTCAGGTAAAATTGTTCCATACATCTGCTGTAGTCTTGTAAGTTATTTACATGGCTAATTCTTTTGTATCTGTCAATTAGTAGTGCTTTACCTAGTTCTAATCTGGCTATTGGGGTGTTATCGTTTAGGTAACGGAGAGAGATGGCTTTAATCGACCCGAAGGTGAATCTGAAATGGTAAATTCAGAGGGCGTCGGGTCAATTGTCATCAATGTTAGGTAAATTATTACTTTTCTTCCTTTTCTTAACTTTGTGAATGGAAAACCTAGGTGTAATTTTTGTTCCGTTTTGTTTCCTTCCTAAGAATTAGAGTGTCGGGTTCAAGGGTTATAGGGTCTGTTCAAGTTTCATTTGATTGAAAGTTTTTCTATAACGATGGGGTACAATTTTTCTCGGAATTCATTTAATTTTGACAAGTAGTCATGTTGAGTGTAGCCGTCCAACGGGAGAGAAGATTGCTGCTAAGACGTAACATGCAGATCAATATTAAATTGAGTGCAGAATTTGTTGAACATGTCGCTAGCGAATTCTGCTCCCTGGTCATAGACTATCTTTTTCGGAATACCAAATTGGGAGATAAAATGTTTTAACGCTTTAACTACGTTAATACAGTTCCTATTAGCTATGGGGTATGCAGCCGCAAATTTGGAAAATTTGTCAATAATGGTAAGGTTGTAGTTTTTGTTAATCTTGTAGATGTCTATATTTAAAATGTCCAACGGTTTTGAGGGTATTTCGGGTATTTGATACGAAGTCTTTTGAGGTTGTCTGTCGTATTTTAATTTCAAACATGTCTCGCATTCTCTGATCAACTGAGTAATTTTCTTTTTTTTTGCCTTTTTAAGTGTAAATATGTCTCATCTACACCACGATGATTACAGTTAAGATGATAATCAGTTATAATTTTCTCGATCTCCGTATTATCAGTTATTTCGGAAAGGAAACTCAAACATCTAATAAGCTTAAATTCACTGTTGGCAGAGAAATAGGTCTGGCAGGCTTGTTCCACCATTAGAAATACGTGATCGGGGGCAAATGCCGGGCATTTTTTGTTTGGTTTAAGTGACTGTTTAAGAATGGTAACCAGGTCGTCATATTGAAAGTCGGGTCTAGAGAATTCCCTCATTCATTAACGAAGTCAATGGTTTATGGTCGGTGACTATGGTAAATTTCTTGCCAAAGAGGTAGGATCTGAAGTATTGCACCGCCCATATAATAGCCAGCATCTCCTTTTCAATTGTGGAATAGTTTGTTTCCCCAGTTGACAAGGTTCTGCTAGAAACATACGGGTTTATCATTGTTTACGGGAAATTGCTTGCGTCCGTGGTTAATGTAAAAGGTTTAGTAAAGTCTGGGTATTAGAGGATTGGGTCATTAGAAAGTAAGGTTTTACATGACTCGAAGGCTTCTCTAAAGTCGTCATCTATTATAATCGACTTATTGTTGCCTATTAACTTCTTCGTCATGGTAAGTCATGGTTAGGTAAGTCTTGCAAAATCCCTAATGAATTTCCTGTAGTAGCCTAACAAACCGAGAAAAGACTTAATTGTTTTTTTACTGTGAGGACATGGGAAGTTTTTAATGGCTTCGATTTTATTGTGGTTAGGTTTAACACCTTCTTGTGAAACGATATGGCCAAGGAATTCAGTCTCCTTCCTGAGGAAGTTGGACTTGGTTAGTTGTACTTTGAAGTTAGCAGACCTAAGTCTTTCGAAAATAGTTTTTAAGTGTGTAAGGTGCTCTTGTAAAGAAGTTGAGAAAATTATTATATCGTCCAGATAGACTAGGCAGATGGTTCCGATGAGGTCCCCAAAAATATTGTCCATCACCCTTTGAAAGGAAGGAGGATCATTTCGCCTGTGATTTGAAATTCGGGTGGAAATGGTATAGATACATGTTGGTAGATTGTAAAATTATTTAGGGCCGTTTTAAGGCGTTTGTAAGGTCACGCAGTATTGAGAATCAACGTATATTGGGTCGATAAAGGAGTGTGTGGAGTCTGGGTCAATTAGGAATTTCAGAGGGTTTGTATGGGGTAGTTTGATTTTAATGAAAGTGAGAGAAGGACTGTGCGTGGGCGGACTTATGTACCCTGTTGGCTTCCCGAGGCAGGTTGCCGAAAATTCGGGATGGGTTGAGGTTTCTCCTCTATATTATTCAGACTATGCGGCGATGATCGGAAGGGGTTTGGTGTACTGGCTTGGTTATCGTTATTGCCGGATTGGGGTGTACGGTTTTACGAGTTAGATGGTCTATTCTGGTTGGAATTAGAGTACGGTTCTCTACGGCCGTTTCGGTCAATTCGTCCGTTGTGGTTATTATTGCCGTTATTATTTCGTTGAT